ACTAAAAAATCAGCAAAACCTGATTTTTAATTAAGTCATTTATCATGATTTAATTAAAAATCAGGTTTTGCTGATTGTTTTGATTGAACTGCGATGATGAGGACTGAAAAGCATTATGATAAATTTAAATGCATTTGGGTACTAAAGGATAATATTAACATTGATTTTCATAAAGGTACATAAAGAGTTTTAAGTAAAATTAATTCTAATTCTAGCTGCTGGAGTTTGCGTTCGCGCACGGATGAACTCGGTGCACCTTGGTCTTCGATTCCACGTCCTATCCAGTACTCTCGTGGTACCGAATGTACTTGGCGGACCGGACTCTCGCCGCTGCGCCTCTTGGGAGCTCCGACGCCACACTGCGGGCGGAAGGAGCGGGGATGAGAATATCGACTCCGTCCTCGCGACGGCCGGTGGAGGAGTCTCGCGACGGCCGGTGGAGGAGGCTCGCGACGGCCGGTGGAGGTCGGTGCCTGTCGAGGGTTGGCATCCCTGAAAAGTAACTCCAATCGCTCCAATAATCCAAGAAATAAGGTATCGGGGCATCTAGCATAAAAAAAATTACCGAAAGTACCGAAAAGTGTAATTGAAATTGAACAAGACGCATTCGGCCAAAAAAGAAAAGACAAAAAGAAATGAAATTCTAGTCGAGTAACAAATCTCCACTCCCGGTCCACCCAGCCCCGCCATCGACCAACTGCGCGTTCTTGTCGTAGTAAAACCACTTAGAAGCTGTTTTGTTTTGATCCTTCAGACAACCCGAAACCGGTTCCCGTCCCAGAGCCTCCTTATCGCTGGACCCGTTCGCATCCCGCTGGATAACCCTCACCACCTCGCCGACAAAGGCAATATTACTTGTTTGACGTGTATATTTCACGCTGAGGATAATTGAGGGATTTTTTAAATTTAAATTCCTTGCTGGCTCCATGCTGGAACAGGACTGGTTCGACGTGAGTGGAGTTAGTGCCATCACCTTCTTGCCCTTGCTGAGCAACTCAGAATTTATGGAGAGAATCCAGGTGAACAGCCGCGTTCTTACAGATATTCGGGATACTCGATGGTTGACTTGGAATTTCGATTGGGTCATCTCGGCGAAAGATGACAATCGATCCTAAAGGGTTATTTTGAGATACCTCCTTCAGTCTACTTCAGAAATTTGTTTTCCGCGCGTTTCCACCGCATCACTTAGATCTTTTACAACCCAGGGTCCTTTGAAACGGCGAAACGAACGTTTCTCTCCGCCGGCTCCAAAAATCATCAGATGTTTCTTGGGGGCGGCGACTGCACATAGGACTGGCATCTGCGAATGCTACGAACCTGACAGCGCCACAATCTAGAGATGCTCATCGTTCAGAGATCGTTCAAGGGCTATAGAATGGAGGTGGAAAGAGCAAGGCAATCTGACTATAAGAAACTAACCAATGTGACATTTTTAACAGAGGAGAAATAGACTAGGAAAAGGAGATTTTATCGGTCAGCCGAGGAGAGTGTATACCAGTGACGTCATTGACTCCCCACCCCCCGCTGGGATGTAGCCCAACCTTATCTACTCTTCTAACCTGGGTGGCGAACAGGGAAAAGGGGGAATCGTCGCAAGTAGGAGCTGGGCTTAGGAAGGGACCCTTCCTCGCACATGGGGGTTTCGTCAACGTGTCGAAATGAGGCATTCATCGATTTTGATTTTTTTTTAAAATTTTTTTTTTATTCCGAATTTCTGCTGCTGCTTTTGATTGCAATTAATTTACTGGATTTTTTTTTTCCCCATGTGGAAACCCACGCCTTTGCTGGCTGCAATAGAGCTAATATACGAGAGCATCTAATTTCAATAAATAAATCGATTGATTGATCGAAATTCCGGACTTTCTCCCTTCGCCCTCCGACTCATAAAAAAAAATTAAATTGAGTACGGTGTCTGTCAGCACAGCAGAAAGCAGGAAATCGATGAAACAAATGTAATAGAAACCTGCCCAAGGCCACAATGAGGCAAACGCGCCCTGATGCCGCATAATGCATCCTGATGCCAATGATACCGTATAATGCGTCCTGATACCGAAGATACCGCAAATATCGCTCGTCAACCAAGCCCCCCACCTGGGAAGGGGTAACGACACGCGGTGACCGCTGGATTCAGCGAATCCAGCGGTTGCCCCGAGCCACGTGGACGCCACATGGCGACTGCTGAAGGATGCAGCCTCGCAGATCCGGCCCTGCCAAAAGCTGCATCAGCTCGCGCAGGAGCGCCGAAAGCACCCGAAGGATAGGTAATGGTAAGGGTGGTGGTAAGTAGCCTTTAACGAGTGAGACGACACCGGGCGTCACAAGGAAAGTTATCGAATTTTTAACGGAAAGGGAAGGTCACACAGGACGGGGACCGAAACGGGCGGGTTGTGTGCCACTCCTGTCGGCACGGCGGGCAGGTGAGCCCATCGAGCATGTTCGTCGGACTCGGGCCTGTACTACGTCGACTTTTATGTTGTGGACTGTTTCGAGCTCTTCGTACATTGGTTTTTGGGGCAGCCGAAGTGTGGGGGATGCTTTAGACTCGAATCGATCCAAAGACGCGTATCTTGAATTGCTTTAGCCTTAAATGACCTCAAGTGGGGCTCCGACTTTCATGCCCCAGATCTAACAACATAGGCCTAAAACATCATCTTCCCATTGATGATTTAGTGTTACGGAGTTCTTTAGTGATTAAGCAGATATGCATAGGCCTAACGTTTCGCAGCACCACCCTGAAAGCTTTCAAGGTCAAATACCACCACTTCATGACAACCCAATGCAGGGAGGGATGGAAAAGGGGAAACACTGCTACTTCTTGGTGTAAATTTTAAGAAATTGTTAAAGAGAGGAGGGAGGTAATGGTTCTATCTTCATTCTTTTCCTTTCCTTCTCATAGTTCATATGTATTGACTCTTGTCACAAACTGATTAGTAAATGATAACTGGCAAAGATGTGAAGATGTGGCAATGCAGCTAGGCAAAAAGCAACTTGAACCCAAAGTATGGGGTCAGAAATTGATAGAGACTGATTGCAAAATATGGCAATATTATGGCATTTCATTAGGCACTTTTCCAATGAAATGCCAAGGAAAATCTTGTCACACTGAAATATATTCAGGGATGATCTGTTTGCCCAGCTTGCTTCATTATGGTTGGATTCATTGCTTCATTTTTTGGCACTAATTAGGTTGTGAAGTGATAGCTATCTATTGGGCACTAGTGATATTAGTGATATCCTCAACATGAGTCTGAAGCTACTGCGCAGAATTGAGGCTTGGTACCAAGATTGTGTTGACCAACAAAAATTGCAATCTCTTGAGCAACATGAAGAAGATCTCATTGGTGATGAAGATGTACTAGGAGACTTATCTGCCCATTTATGCATTCTTAAAGAATTGACCCTCTTTCTACTGCCTATTGCTGAATAAATAGCAGAGAAGCCAGATGGGAATGTTACTCTCTATGTAACTTTGCTTCAGGGGTGAGCTATCATTGAAACTTGAGGCAGAGCTATTGCCCAAAGTACTTTCATGCTTTGTTGAATCAATATATATGTCTTGGTAGAGTATGGACATTAAGGACAGTATTATCCATTTGCCTCACCATCTCATATGTGAACTGCTAGGTGTCTGATGAAGATGTGCTAATGATGGTGATCATGATGTGCTAGGGTGCAAAATCTCAAATCAACCCAACAAAAAAAAAACAGGAGAATGCTTGCCAGATGGAAATAATTTCAGCACTTCATTGCTTTCTCACATTTTTAAAAGATCATTGACTCTGATAAGTAACGCTTTGAACTATGGCAAGCTACAATATATTTTAGTGTTTTGAGTTTGCTTTCCATGTTTTATTTAATGCTTGCTTGTCTCAGATGGTGAATTGGTCCACTTTCTGGATCAGTGGCTTCTTTTGGAGCAAGGGAGATCAAAGCAAAATAATGATTGAGGCCTCAGTAAGTTATTGTGGGAGCTCAGGATTTAGGACTATCAACCAGATGATTGGTCTGCATCCTGATTTAAAATGTAGCCCTTATTTTTCCTTTTAAAGGACTTCTAGTTTTTAGAGTTCTCTTGACAGTCCAAAAACAGGTGATAGCTTTGCAAGATGCTTGGCTTGGATACTCCATGTTTTCATTTTCACTTTAGCAAGATATGCATTGGGAGAGTAAGTCAGTTCTCATGTAGCCAATTAGTAAGCCAATTAGCTTATAGATAGGCCTGATTAATACCTTCAGCAATAAGAAGTGAGAGATGAACAAGCCCTAGTAGTGTTTTTGTTTTTTGTGCATGTTGTCTGTAGCTATCTTAGGCTAGGGATAATAATGGACTTCATGAAAATTTACAGTTGGGTTTTTCTGCAAGAGTACCTCTAGGCATAGATGAATACTTTATGCTGTCTCACAGATCTATATAAAAGCATTGTTCTATTTTGCAGAGCTTTAAGCCTTGTCCCACCAGAGAGGCTGGGGGTCATTTTGTACAAACCAATTGGAATTTTGGATTGTGCTTCAAAAGTACACTTGACTGAAGAGAGTTGCTAGCGAGCATAACAGGCTTCAAGTGCCTGTTGATGTATGTAGTCCTTATTTCCTGTTAAAAGAGAGGGACTGTCATCTTGGTTGCAGGCTGGCTGAGAGATCAACTGCATTTGTGGAATCTCAACCTCCAGATCTGAAGATACTTGGGATCTCCTGAGGAGCTGTGATATGAGCCTTTGAATCTGCCGGCCTAACATCTGGTGTAGGCCTTTCTAGAATCATGCAGTCGGCCATCATGCACCATCAAGGCATTTTTGCCAAGCATTTCTTGGCACAAAGAACATGGAAACTTGGTTTGGGTATCTCAAAAGGAAATGGATCATGCCTCAACTTCCACACAGGGCAGGCCCTGTATGAATACAAGCCCATCAGGAGTGTATTAGTTGCCAACAGAGGCAAGTTGCTTTTAGTCCCATGTAAATGAATGAACGAGTATATGAACACCCTTTGCTTCCTTTGTGATGGCAGCACTCCAAGATAGTAAGAGCATGGCATAAGAGCATCTCTTGCTCTAGATCAAGTAACCAAATGAGGTCTCCAAAAAAAATCTGATCATCCACCCTGGGTTGCCAGCATCAGTTTTTTATTATTCTTTTGTAATTAAATGGATTTCTCTATATGAATTTTGAATCTTTTCTGTGGTAAAGATTTTCTCATTAAATTTATCTTTGTGTCCTGAATGGCAATTTAAAATCTGCATGGTATTTGCATGGTAATAAATAATTTTCCCCTGAGTAGTGGAAAACAGAGAAAGTAATACTTCCACAGGAAATGCTTCATCAGATCTAAAAATTCATCCTTTTGGAAGGATGTTACATGGGGAATCACTACCTACAATTGAGGAGTTCTCTGGAAAAGGGGCATATGTGCCCACATTTCCTTTTTCCATATCCATGTCCATGTGCTGCTTTAGGTGACTAGTCATAGGATAGGGTGGTCAACAAGTAGTTATAAAGCATATTCAGCAATGGAGAAGCAGATTTTCCTTTGCTCTCACTATATTTCAGGCCAACTGCCTGGCAATATCTTCCGTTTCTTCTGTGACTATTTTTAGGAAGAATCTGGATGCTTTTTATGGACAGGCAAAATGGTTGGGAGGGCAATGTTGAAGATAGGTTCTTGGCGGTAAGCAACTAGGATATGTGGGGAAAAAATCACAAAAAATAAAAAAATATTTAGCTTTAAGAGTATTAGATCTACCCAAAAATTAAGGGACGCTTGACCTCAACATGTGATTTCGAAATAGGTTTAATTGCTAACAACCTTGAACCTTGAATTTCAATATGGCTGCCTCAATGAATATTCTATTAGCGCTTGCATGCGGAACGATTTTGGTGGAGTTATTTCTTCCTTTTGAACTGCAAGTGAAAATGAGGAAAAAAACAGACATGAGGAAAGGGAAAGAAAGAGGCCCAATTATTCAAGCCTATGGAAGGATGTGAAAAGTTGGAGATATCTATTAAATAGTTGTGGATTCAGATGATGAATAAATTAATACTGGATCACTGGTGAGTTATTAGGGAATGCAATGTGTCCTGAATGTTCACATTTTCATTGCTGTTCTTCAAGAAGGAGTTTATTTGAAATCTGTTGACGCATTTATTAATTAATTATTAATTAATTTTAAATGGAAATAAGTGGTGAAAGACTTGCTGGAAAAAGTTTCAGCAGCACAAGTATGGAAAAAGGGGTGTATGTGCAAAAACACTTTCTGCCTGCATCCCAGCAATGTGAGATGAAGAAATTCATTAAAACCCTAAGTTCAATTGGAAAAAGGTCTAAGATACCATTTTACTGATAATTAAGTTTTGACCAGCTCCAGATTAGCTATGAGAAGTTTTTATAGTTAATCTCAAATTACATATTTTGCACATGTGCCCTTTTTCTAGAGAACTCCTCAATTGATGGAAGTGCCCAAAAGGGGGGGAGGGTATGAATTCAATTAAAAAACAATGCTACCATTTTCACTTTTGAAATGTAGTTTTTTGCAACAAGCCCATGCTGGCAAACTGGAACTGGAAAGAAATTGTATGCTTGTAGAGTATAGCTACCACTTGATACTTTTAGTAACAAAATACCCAGTTCTTAATATTATGCCATTACTAAATTAATTATTCTTTGCCAATTGGACTGTTTTGACTATCAATATTTTTCTGTTTTCCAGCCATACACCTGAATCTTTCTTTTTCTGAATATCTTTTGTGTCAGTGGTTCTTCATTTATTGTGATCTGTCTGAGGGATTTTGCTTATGGGTTCACAGAACCTGATGTGAATTGATCTTTTGCAAACTTCAGGTTGGTTTATTGCTGAAAAACCATTTTGGCTAATTTTTTAACATCAGTTTCATTGCTTGAACAAATTGTTTCAAGAGTTCTGTTTTAGGAGAAAAAAAGGATGTTCCTGTTAGCATGCAGTTTCACACCCCTTCCAATAGAACTCTTATGATATTGTTTATACTATGTTCAAACAGCAGAAGCCCTGAGATAGACCTCTGACTTGTCTGTTTTTATTATTGAAATATGCCTTTATAGGAAATTCAGAAGATGTAGGTATTATTTCATCAGTATAAAAAAAGAAAGTTCAGAAAATATTCTCGTGTTTATATTGCTTGCATTTGCTGTTTATAGGAGAAATTGCCATTCGAATCTTTCGAGCATGCACAGAACTGGGCATCAGATCTGTGGCAGTGTATTCAGAGCAAGACAAAATGCACATGCACAGACTGAAAGCTGATGAAGCATATCTCATTGGTAAAGGTCTTCCCCCTGTACAGGCTTATCTCAACATACCTGAGATCATCAAAGTTGCTAAGGTGAGAATTTGAGTAATTCTATGGGAAAAAGTAGTATTGAAATGTGACTTGTATATTGCTGATGTCTGGGTCTCAACTTCCTATATTGATAGTTGATTACTTCTTTTAGGTTAAGGAGGAGTAGAACAGTATTGCAGAGGCAAAATGATTCCAAATTCCAAATTGCCTTTATTTGAATTCAAATGAGAGTCCTTATCTCCTGTGATGTGCCTGACAGGATTACGTTTCTCTTGAAGTCGCTTACAAATTTTTTGTGGGAGTTCAAGTTGTAATGCTTTCATGTCAGCATGCCAAATATTGCCAATTAGGATAACTAGTAATATCATTTGCAGTGTGGTGAAAGGAAGTAAATGTAAGCATGAAGCTTTTAAGATTAAAGAATGATGATTAAGGAATACTCTCCATTGCACCAGGAAGCTGAGATTGTTAGCTCCTGGTTGTCAAGATGATCATTCCTTAGTTTACTTCCTTCTGTATGGAGAGGCAAATTCTTACTCCTGAAATATTTCATTACTGCATATCCATCCATTAGCCATTGTTGTAGTTAGTGTTATACATCCAGGCCATTTATTGAGTAGAATTATTGGGAGCCAATTATATCAGATACAGAGAATTCTTTCTCACGACTGTGCAGGATTATGACATTCATGCCATCCACCCTGGCTATGGATTCCTGTCTGAAAGGGCAGACTTTGCTGCAGCTTGTCGAAATGCAGGGATTGTCTTCATTGGACCGAGGTCAGAAACAGTTGAGAGGATGGGAGATAAAGTAGCTGCAAGGAAAGCAGCTGAGGAAGCAGGTAAAGTTTTAACCTGGCATCCATTTTAACAAATTCAGATCATCAATTATTCTGTGTAAATTGCTCTGTATTTTCCATACTTTTAATCCTGCTTCCCTTCATATTGAGAAAGAGTGCTTCTTTCACCTGGAGAAAGACATTGATCTTGTGGCTCTGATTTTATCTATATGCTTATAGGTGTTCCTTGTGTGCCTGGGACATCTGGCCCAGTGAAGGACCTGAATGAGGCAAGGGAATTCTGTGATAAACATGGCTTTCCTGTGATATTCAAGGCTGCATTCGGTGGTGGTGGTCGTGGAATGCGGAAGGTCAACAATGCCAGTGTGAGTTTTCTTGTTGTCTTTCCTGCATGGCCTCATCTCTTGGCATAATTCTTTCTGGATGGGTAGGAATTGGATGAAGCGTTTGCAAGGGCCACTTCAGAAGCAATGGCAGCATTTGGGAATGGGGCACTATTTCTGGAAAAGTTTGTTGAGCGACCACGGCACATTGAAGTTCAGATCCTTGGAGACAAGGAAGGAAATGTAGTTCACCTGTATGAGAGAGATTGCTCAGTACAAAGACGGCACCAAAAGTTGGTTGAAATTGCACCTGCACCAAAGCTGGATTTAAAGGTATGTGAAGCTGGCAATTGAAGCATGAGAATCCAGTATCCACTGAGTTTTGTTGCCCACTAATGAATTGTTGTTCACATAGACCAGGGACAAGATGACAGCTTGTGCTGTAAAGCTGATGAAGCATGTAGGATATGAGAATGCAGGGACTGTTGAGTTTCTGTTGGATGAGAAAGGCAATTTTTACTTCATTGAAGTGAATGCTCGGCTTCAAGTGGAACACACCATCACTGAAGAAATCACTGGGTAGGAAGCCTTTTCATTACTTTTTTCATGCTGTATGGGTTGGTATATGCACCTCTTCAGCCCACCCCATTCAAGAAATCATGAATGGTTCCTTCTGACTGCATGCCACAGGATACNTTCATCAGTATAAAAAAAGAAAGTTCAGAAAGTATTCTCGTGTTTATATTGCTTGCATTTGCTGTTTATAGGAGAAATTGCCATTCGAATCTTTCGAGCATGCACAGAACTGGGCATCAGATCTGTGGCAGTGTATTCAGAGCAAGACAAAATGCACATGCACAGACTGAAAGCTGATGAAGCATATCTCATTGGTAAAGGTCTTCCCCCTGTACAGGCTTATCTCAACATACCTGAGATCATCAAAGTTGCTAAGGTGAGAATTTGAGTAATTCTATGGGAAAAAGTAGTATTGAAATGTGACTTGTATATTGCTGATGTCTGGGTCTCAACTTCCTATATTGATAGTTGATTACTTCTTTTAGGTTAAGGAGGAGTAGAACAGTATTGCAGAGGCAAAATGATTCCAAATTCCAAATTGCCTTTATTTGAATTCAAATGAGAGTCCTTATCTCCTGTGATGTGCCTGACAGGATTACGTTTCTCTTGAAGTCGCTTACAAATTTTTTGTGGGAGTTCAAGTTGTAATGCTTTCATGTCAGCATGCCAAATATTGCCAATTAGGATAACTAGTAATATCATTTGCAGTGTGGTGAAAGGAAGTAAATGTAAGCATGAAGCTTTTAAGATTAAAGAATGATGATTAAGGAATACTCTCCATTGCACCAGGAAGCTGAGATTGTTAGCTCCTGGTTGTCAAGATGATCATTCCTTAGTTTACTTCCTTCTGTATGGAGAGGCAAATTCTTACTCCTGAAATATTTCATCATTGCATATCCATCCTTTGGCCATTGTTGTAGTTAGTGTTATACATCCAGGCCATTTATTGGGTAGAATTATTGGGAGCCAATTATATCAGATACAGAGAATTCTTTCTCATGACTGCAGGATTATGACATTCATGCCATCCACCCTGGCTATGGATTCCTGTCTGAAAGGGCAGACTTTGCTGCAGCTTGTCGAAATGCAGGGATTGTCTTCATTGGACCGAGGTCAGAAACAGTTGAGAAGATGGGAGATAAAGTAGCTGCAAGAAAAGCAGCTGAAGAAGCAGGTAAAGTTTTAACCTGGCATCCATTTTAACGAATTCAGATCATCAATTATTCTGTGTAATTTGCTCTGTATTTTCCATACTTTTAATCCTGCTTCCCTTCATATTGAGAATGAGTGCTTCTTTCACCTGGAGAAAGACATTGATCTTGTGGCTCTGATTTTATCTATATGCTTATAGGTGTTCCTTGTGTGCCTGGGACATCTGGCCCAGTGAAAGACCTGAATGAGGCAAGGGAATTCTGTGATAAACATGGCTTTCCTGTGATATTCAAGGCTGCATTCGGTGGTGGTGGTCGTGGAATGCGGAAGGTCAACAATGCCAGTGTGAGTTATCTTGTTGTCTTTCCTGCATGGCCTCATCTCTTGGCATAATTCTTACTGCATGGTTAGGAATTGGATGAAGCATTTGCAAGGGCCACTTCAGAAGCAATGGCAGCATTTGGGAATGGGGCACTGTTTCTGGAAAAGTTTGTTGAGCGACCACGGCACATTGAAGTTCAGATTCTTGGAGACAAGGAAGGAAATGTAGTTCACCTGTATGAGAGAGATTGCTCAGTACAAAGACGTCACCAAAAGTTGGTTGAAATTGCACCTGCACCAAAGCTGGATTTAAAGGTATGTGAAGCTGGCAATTGAAGCATGAGAATCCAGTATCCACTGAGTTTTGTTGCCCACTAATGAATTGTTGTTCACATCACCAAAAGTTGGTTGAAATTGCACCTGCACCAAAGCTGGATTTAAAGGTATGTGAAGCTGGCAATTGAAGCATGAGAATCCAGTATCCACTGAGTTTTGTTGCCCACTAATGAATTGTTGTTCACATAGACCAGGGACAAGATGACAGCTTGTGCTGTAAAGCTGATGAAGCATGTAGGATATGAGAATGCAGGGACTGTTGAGTTTCTTTTGGATGAGAAAGGCAATTTTTACTTCATTGAAGTGAATGCTCGGCTTCAAGTGGAACACACCATCACTGAAGAAATCACTGGGTAGGAAGCCTTTTCATTACTTTTTTCATGCTGTATGGGTTGGTATATGCACCTCTTCAGCCCACCCCATTCAAGAAATCATGAATGGTTCCTTCTGACTGCATGCCACAGGATACTGAACATCAGGGTTCACTTCTCTGCAAAGGCCATCAAATAACATAATCAGTGTTAGGAGTTGTATTTGCTCTTAAACCTCTGTTTCTTCAGGATGGGTTTGAATCAGTGTATGTTTGGAATATTCTTCTTCAAACTTCAAAAATTTTTCAAAACTGACTTGTGTGCTTGATATCTCTTTGGGTTTTGGTAAAATTTTATCTTCATTTACTTTATCCCTTTCAGACCTGAATTAAGGCCACTGATAATATACTTTTTTGCATTTTGAGCTCCTTTCTTATAATACTTAAACATTTTTATGTTCTATATATCAATTTTATATTTTTTTAAATAAATGTTTCATCACACCATATATTGTATATTTTTCATGTAATTACATAAATGAAGGTCACAAAACTGACAGGTGAAAGAAGGCCCAGATGGAATTGAGTCATGCATAATTATCAGATAACACCACATTATATCCCGTCATTATCCCGTCATAATACCACATTATATTGATTCAGTACTCTTAGGGTTATATAATGGTATCTATGTTACTTTTACGTTACAGGTAACCTTACCTACACCAGTCTGAAAGGGTTAAAACAAGTTTGAAATTCTAAAACTCTGAGAACAGCAGTGGTGGTTCACATGCTAGAAGTGAATTCACATCATACGTAGTTTGTCCAATAAATACGCGAACTGAGGTCATAAAAACTTTATTTTACAAAATTTAGGGTACATCAATCTTATCCCATTCAAAATACTCCCCATTTGTAGCAATACACTTGTTCCATCTCCGTTTCCATTGTTCAAAACATCCCTGGAAGTCCTCAGAAGTCAGGCTCTTCAGCTGCCTCGTCGTTTTACGTTTAATCGTCTCCACATCGTCCCAGTGCCGCNAGGGTCCACTTCTCTGCAAAGGCCATCAAATAACATAATCAGTGTTAGGAGTTGTATTTGCTCTTAAACCTCTATTTCTTCAGGATGGGTTTGAATCAATGTATGTTTGGAATATTCTTCTTCAAACTTCAAAAATTTTTCAAAACTGACTTGTGTGCTTGATATCTCTTTGGGTTTTGGTAAAATTTTATCTTCATTTACTTTATCCCTTTCAGACCTGAATTAAGGCCACTGATAATATACTTTTTTGCATTTTGAGCTCCTTTCTTATAATACTTAAACATTTTTATGTTCTATATATCAATTTTATATTTTTTTAAATAAATGTTTCATCACACCATATATTGTATATTTTTCATGTAATTACATAAATGAAGGTCACAAAACTGACAGGTGAAAGAAGGCCCAGATGGAATTGAGTCATGCATAATTAAGTCTATTGTGGTGTAATATAGGGCAGTAATAGGGCAGTATTATGGTGTAATATAACTAAGTCATGAGAATCCCAATATATTACCATAGATACAATGAAAATGCAATGTCCATTGGAATGGATGTGGGGTCTGAAAGGGTTAAAACAAGTTTGAAATTCTAAAACTCTGAGAACAGCAGTGGTGGTTCACATGCTAGAAGTGAATTCACATCATATACAATTTTGGGTCCATATTCTAATGTTACTTGCTTCAAGGGAGATGCCCTCTCACCTCCCTGTAAATACCATAGAAGTAAAATGTTAAAGATAGTAAAAATTCACTTGTAAGTTACTGTTCTACTTCTCATTTTCTTTTTATCTAGAACTATTATTTCTGCATCAAATGTGATAGTACACTCTTTGGTGACTCACTGCTGGACCTGGCTTTGCCTAGCATTATGAAAAATGAAATTGTGGAACTTCTTTCTTCAGGATTGATTTGGTTCAGTCCCAGATCCACCTGGCTGGAGGTAGACTCTTGTCTGAGTTGGGACTAACTCAAGATAAAATTGGGATCCAGGGATGTGCTATCCAATGCCGAATCACAACAGAAGATCCTGCCAAAGAATTCCAACCTGACTCAGGCAGACTTGAAGTATGTTCTCTTTTCTCTGCTCAGTTGCATTGTGCTTCATATGAAGCAGTTGAATAGAGCACCTTCCATTCAGGTGTTCCGCAGTGGTGAAGGAATGGGGATTCGATTGGATGGTGCTTCAGCATATGCTGGAGCAATCATCTCCCCCTACTACGATTCTCTATTGGTAAAAGTGATTGCACAATCGACAAATCTTCAGGCAGCTTCTGCAAAGATGAATCGGGCCCTGCGAGAATTTCGAGTTCGTGGTGTCAAGGTGAGTAATCATTATTATTGAAACCCACATTGGTCAATAGCATTGTTTCTCATTCCCAGCCACTTTTTTTTTCTACATGACAAGAAAGCTTTCTCTTTCTTTGGTCAGACCAACATTCCCTTCTTGCTGAATGTCTTGGAGAGTCAAAAGTTTCAATCAGGGATCATTGACACCTACTTCATTGATGAGCATCCTGAACTCTTCCATTTAACACCATCCCAGAACAGGGCTCAAAAATTGTTGATCTACCTTGGAAACCTGTTAGTGAATGGGCCCATGACACCATTGGGTACCCCATTGGCACCTGCAGAAATTGATCCCAAGAGAGATGATGTACCAGGAGGTGAGTGATTGATCACCATAGGTTACTATCATCATGAACTCATATTTTTTCTCATATACATTCTTTTAAGACAAAATTGGCAAATCCCCTGAAAGCCTAAAATCCACTAATGGTTCGAAACTTCTGTTGAGATTTTACTGAGCTGTGGCTTTTACTCTGGCTGACTCCAAAAGTTTATGAGTACTAGTGAATACCTTATCATACAAATATATGAGTACATTATTGCAGAGGATGCCATGGACCCAAAATCGAGTAAGTTGCAGACTCCAATTATGTTGTGAGTTGGTCAATGTGTGGTCACTGCTTGGACCCTCCATTCTTTTCCATTGAGATGCTGCTAAGTGTTTCTTTCTTTGCAGAGCCAGGTGGCATGAAAGCTCCCCTTTTTTGTTTGTACTCATGACTGCTTTACAAGAAATTTTTTAATATCGCCCTTGCACCTTCATATGTCATTCTGGCCTGCCTGTCCACAGCTACATATTATGTGAGGTCTGACAATAAAGTAACGAGACTGATTCTTTAAATAAAAAAAAATTATTATCAGTAACATTTACTTGATGTGGTCACCTTCAAAGTACTCTCCTTCTGACTTTTTACACACCTCTCACACATCTTTGCTATGCCTGGAAACATTGCTGGAAATCATTTCCTGAAAGTCCTTTCAATACTGCCAATATATGTCTCTAAATGTCTTCAATTGATTCAAAATGTTTTTTCAGTTTTGGAAACTTGGAAAAGTCCCATGGGGCAAGTATGGGGGATGTTCCAACATTGATATTTGGTTTTTGGCCAAAAGTTGCCTTATTAAAGAGCTGTGTGGGAAGGTGCAATGTCAAGATGCAAAATTCGCTTGTCTGGTCAAAGATTGGGTCTTTTTTGTCTAATGCGCTGCTGTAAGCGTTCCAAAACTTGATGGTAGAATGCTTGATTGTTGTGGAGGAACAAATTCGTAATGGACAATTCCCATTGATATAGGAAAAGTAGATCAGCATCAGCAACAAAATGTCAAAGTCTCCAATGGAAAAGTCCAGGATCTCTCAGACTGAAAAAAGCATGCATGTCAAAATCAAATGTTAAAACCATGCTGATCTGCTTTTTTGGTATCAAAGGAATTGTCCATTATGAATTTTTTCCTTCACAACAGTCAATCAAGCATTCTACTTTCAAGTTTTGGAACGTTTACAGTAGCACATTAGACAAAAAAGACCCAATCTTTGGCAGGACAAATGGATTTTGCATCATGACAATGTGCATTCCCACACAGCTCTTTCGGTAAGGCAATTTTTGGCCAAAAAAGAAATATCAATGTTGGAACATCCCCCATATTCGCCTGAACTTGCCCCATGTGCCTGTTTCATGTTCCCAAATGTTTTCTTTTTTTTTTAGAGAATCAGTCTTATTTTATTGTCAGACCTCATATGCACATGATGTTGGCACTGTAGCTAACAGAACATCAGTTGCAAAAACATGTTTGTTTTTTTTTAACAATATTCAAATTTGAATATTGTTATAACTTTATCTTTGTTGTTACAAAAGGACGAGGGATCAATATGGCAAATTTATAAATCGCATACTAAAGATCTATGGACAGTGAGCTTCATATTATAAATAAATAAAGTTGTACCATGGTCAAGGTCTCTCCCAGAGGTCCTGTATATTTGGAAATGTGTGCACACTGATTTTAGGCTGATTCATAAAAGCAAATTCAGTGGAAGTGTATTCAATTTTCCATCGCTCTTGAGTTTACTTCCATGGGATTTGTTGTATTGAGTAGTAAATGTTAATGGAAAAAGAGAGTGCTATTTCAAAAAAAAAGCATGCACAGACTCCATGAGAAGAGCGATTTTTGTATGAAAACCAAACTCAATGCTGATGTCAGTGCTCAAGGATGTCCTGTGTATATTGATTTCAGTGAGTCTGCCTGGACTCATGGTGATATCCAATTGATTTATAAGTGAACCTTAAAATGCTTGTTTGAGAAAATCAGCTTTGGGAAAATTCTGAGAATTCACATAATACAGGGTGACTCAAAAGTCCTTGGACACCTATTGAAAAAACTGTTGGACAAGTGATACCCAGGTGATTTTTTGAGTGAAGCAACATCTACTACAGATCTATTTGCCTTCAAGTTTCAGGTCGAAAGCTCTTGATATGGTTCCCAAACATCAAAGAGAAGCAGTGATTTTTCAAAACCAGAGTGGTCTTCCAGCAAGCAGGATCTCAAAGCTCACCAAAACCCCTCGATCTACTATCTATAGCATTATTTGGCGATACAATGAGCTTGGATCAGGAGCAGATTGCCAAATAAGTGGACATCCTTCCATGTTCCAGGATAAGAAGCTCCAGAAACGAGTCAGGCAAATGCTATACCAAAATCCAGAGCATTCTGGAAGAAAGCTTGTGCAAACCTTGGGAGTGGACAAAGAGACCTTGTGAAGATGCATCAGGGGAAAGCTCTGCATGAAGCCTTTTAAAAAACAAAAGGTGCAGCTGCTTACAGAGATCAACAAGAAGAAACAAGTTCAAAGGTCCTGCCAGTTGCTCAAACAGTTTAACCAGTCCTCACTCCAAAGGATTGTTTTTTTCTGACAAAAAATTTTCACTGTAGAGCAAGCTTACAACCCCCAAAACAATCGCCTCTGGGGTAAAAAGCTTTCCTCTTTCAAGTCTCACCAGCGATATGTCCATCAAGTTCAAAAACCAGGTAGTGGGATGGTGTGGGGTGGTTTTTGTGCTTCTGGCAAAACTCCCCTGCATTTTGTGCAGCCTCAGGCCAGGATCAATACCAGCTACTATCATGAGTGTGTTGAAGAAGGTGCTACTCCCCTAGACTCAGGAACATTTCGAATCCCAGCCTAGGACATTCCAGCAGGACTCAGCACCAGCTCACAAAGCAAAATCCACCATCGACTTCTGCAGAACTCACTTTCCAGACTTGATTTCCCCAGAAGAATGGTCTCCTAGTAGTCCTGATTTGAATCCATTGGATTACAGTGTGTGGTCCTACTTGCAGGCCAAGGTCTGCTGCAAGCCACACAAGAGTATCATAGCTTGAAGCTTGATCTGCTGAAGGAATGGAATGAATTGTCGATTGATCAGTTGTGAAGAACCGTAAATGATTTCCCAAAACATCTGAAGCATGTTATTGCCTCAAATGGTGATATTTTTGAAACATAAAAGCATGGTTGGTTTAGTTTTTTGTGATCTTTGCACTGGTCAAATCAGAAATTAAATTGGTCTTCATTAGAGAATGCTACACTTGATTAAAGGTGTCCAAGGACTTTTGAGTCACCCTGTAGGAAACATTTAGGTGCGTACTTGTTGGAACATGCCCAGTACTAGCTCTGACTGTTTTCAGATATAAACATTCCAACAGTAGTGTGTTTTTCTCAGTAACTAGTGTATTCATTTTACTGCCTTGAAATTTTGTTGCAGCACTCATCATGGTACAATGAAATTTTTCATTCTTTTATTTCATAACTGTTGCATTGCACAGCTGCTGAATTTGACATAATAAGCCATTAGACTCCTTCTTCTGAAAGGCAATATATGTAAATGAATCCTATTTGTGATTTAGTATAGGATGAAACTCTCAATTTGCATGACATTATCTTGCCTGATTATCAAACTTCTTGCTGTATGGAATGTGATTCAGTGATATATGCTTGCAATGTTATTATTTTTTCTCACCATTCCTTCTTTCAAACTTTCAAACCAGGCATATAATATGCTTGCCTGACTTGACATTCTGATAGTGCAGATAGGAGCACAGTTTCCATTTATCCTCAGTGATGGAGATTTTCAATGTATGCTTGCATATATCACCTTTTTTTTTAACTTTAGGGATCTCTGGGCTGATGTTTACTTAACACTTAACAGTGGATGAACTTGATCTTAGCTTTAAGCTAGTTTCACACATGCAATGTTGTTGCTGATGATACTACACAACTTCAAGATTAGGTAGCCATGCCTGTTGAAGCAATTGTACTGTGGCCTCTTTCGTCTTTGTGGCCAGTGAGTCTAATCACATGGCATGCATATAGGATAGATCCTCATTTGCACCAAGGAAATGATTCCCTTTTTTATGTATGCCTCTCAAATGGAATGGTGTTTGGGCAAGACTAGGCATAATCAGACTTTGATAGGCTAGGCATGCATACATGACATGCAAATAGACTTGAATGACATTTTTCCAAGCCTACACGACAGCTGCTTATCTTTTGTGTTACGAAGCTTTCTTCACTCTCAAGAAATGGAAGAATGCTAGATGTGGACCTGTTTTTCTTGTATAGCAAGGTCAAGGATGTGAAAGTTCCCACCATTAAATGAAGCAAAAATGTCAGACAGGATTCTCCAGGATATCTCTGTTATATGGGGATCATCCCCTACTTCTTGACCTATTGCCTCCCATGGTGATAGTGTCACTAGTCATTGACAGGACAAGGCAGAAGAGTGAAGTAAGCATCCTTCTAATTTAGTGGTTTGAGCCAAAAGCTCAGAAAAAGTTGGGGATACAATCATATTTCCTTTGTCCAAGGGAACATCTAAAAGAAAAAATACCCCCAGCATTGGGGTTGGGAAATGGAGTTCAGCTTTTTATTTCAAATATAAATAGGCATAACAAAGTTTTTGACAATGCTTCACTATCATATTCTGAAATTATGTATTTCTGCAGTGAAAATGGTAGCATTCATGCCAGCATCTCTTTTTATATGACATAGTTGTCACCCAGATGCTTTATTATACTGATCGTTTTTCTATGATGTAATAACTGAAATTCTTCTGTTGAAATTCTGAAATTCTTTGTTTTCCACTGTGTGAGTGGAGAGACTTGAATCCTGTTCCTTTATTTGACAATTTCTCACATGTCCTTGAAAAAATAAATATATCAGAAACTTCTCATCCCGGACAGTATATTTGTCAAAAGATATGTACCTTTGCCTCCAAGGTGACAAGGTCCCCTTCAAAGTTGTCTCCATGAAAGTTATATAGTTATATAGTTACTGCATATGCAGTTTTTTTTAAATAGCAGATGTGTATATCTACAGTTGTATGCATGGAAGTGCATATATGGCACTCATGATTGGATCTGTATCCCTTTGACAGAAACTTGAGCCCAGGCAGAAGCAGGTGGCTATGATTGACTAGCGTGAGTGCCATGGCAGAAAGTTGAACATTATGATGCATGCATAGGTGCTTTCTCCAGCTGCAACATCCATTCTGCTTGGGGGGAGGGTTTAGGTATGCCACTCAATCATTACCATGAGCAATCCACCCTATTCATTAGACCAGATACCCTATGACTCTTCCCCTGGTATCATGCTGAAGGGATATAGATATACTGATCAGGATCCAATCATGAGTGCTAAGACTAATGCACAATTGTTTTTTCTCACCATTCCTTCTTTCAAACTTTCAAACCAGGCATATAATATGCTTGCCTGACTTGACATTCTGATAGTGCAGATAGGAGCACAGTTTCCATTTATCCTCAGTGATGGAGATTTTCAATGCATATATCACCTTTTTTTTTTTAGCTTTAGAGATCTCTGGGCTGATGTTTACTTAACAGTGGATGAACTTGATCTTAGCGTTAAGCTAGTTTCACACATGCAATGTTGTTGCTGATGATACTACACAACTTCAAGATTAGATAGCCATGCCTGTTGAAGCAATTGTACTGTGGCCTCTTTCGTCTTTGTTGCCAGTGAGTCTAATCACATGGCATGCATATAGGATAGATCCTCATTTGCACCAAGGAAATGATTCCCTTTTTATGTATGCCTCTCAAATGGAATGGTGTTTGGGCAAGACTAAGCATAATCAGCCTTTGATAGGCTAGGCATGCATACATGATATGCAAATAGACTTGAATGACATTTTTCCAAGCCTGCACGACAGCTGCTTATCTTTTGTGTTACGAAGCTTTCTTCACTCTCAAGAAATGGAAGAATGCTAGATGTGGACCTGTTTTTCTTGTATAGCAAGGTCAAGGAAGTGAAAGTTCCCACCATTAAATGAAGCAAAAATGTCAGACAGGATTCTCCAGGATATCTCTGTTATATGGGGATCATCCCCTACTTCTTGACCTATTGCCTCCCATTGTGATAGTGTCACTAGTCATTGACAGGACAAGGCAGAAGAGTGAAGTAAGCATCCTTCTAATTTAGTGGTTTGAGCCAAAAGCTCAGAAAAAGTTGGGGATACAATCATATTCCCTTTGTCTAAGGGAACATCTAAAAGAAAAAATACCCCCAGCATTGGGGTTGGGAAATGGAGTTCAGCTTTTTATTTCAAATATAAATAGGCATAACAAAGTTTTTGACAATGCTCCACTATCGTATTCTGAAATTATGTATTTCTGCAGTGAAAATGGTGGCATTCATGCCAGCATCTCTTTTTATATGACATAGTTGTCACCCAGATGCTTTATTATACTGATCATTTTTCTATAATGTAATAACTGAAATTCTTCTGTTGAAATTCTGAAATTCTTTGTTTTCCACTGTGTGAGTGGAGAGACTTGAATCCTGTTCCTTTATTTGACAATTTCTCTCATGTCCTTGAAAAAATAAATATATCAGAAACTTCTCATCCCGGACAGTATATTTGTCAAAAGATATGTACCTTTGCCTCCAAGGTGACATGGTCCCCTTCAAAGTTGTCTCCATGAAAGTTATATAGTTATATAGTTACTGCATATGCAGTTTTTTAAAATAGCAGGTGTGTACAGTATATCTACAGTTGTATGCATGGAAGTGCATATATGGCACTCATGATTGGATCTGTATCCCTTTGACAGAAACTTGAGCCCAGGCAGAAGCAGGTGGCTGTGATTTACTAGCGTGAGTGCCATGGCAGAAAGTTGAACATTATGATGCATGCTTAGGTGCTTTGTCCAGCTGCAACATCCATTCTGCTTGGGGGGGGTTTTGGCATGCCACTCAATCATTACTGTACCATGAGCAATCCACCCTATTCATTAGACCAGATACCCTATGACTCTTCCCCTGGTATCATGCTGAAGGGATATAGATATACTGATCAGGATCCAATCATGAGTGCTAAGACTAATGCACAATTGACTCATGTGAAGAATTGACTGCAAACAAACTCACCATGACTGAAAACCTGCTGTAATAAGTGCATTAACTCACAGGGAGACTACTTTGAAAGAGATTGTGTCACCTTGGAGTGGAGAGAACAAATGTCCCAATGAAAAATACACTTTTTGGAAATTTTCAATTGGTCTTCATGTATGCATTTCCTGCATCATTAGTACAATTTCCTTCTCAATGTAGGGGATCTTTCCTTCACCCCTACCACTAATTGTTCCCATGCACACTCTGTTGTATTCTTTCTTCCTGCACTATTTGTACCCCATGTTGTATCAGTGTCAACTGTGATAATGCACTCTGAGGTGGTTCCCTACTGGATTGGTAAAAACAAGCCTTGCTTGTTTTTATTTCTTTTGGAAGAGAACTCAAGTATTCAGGAAAATGTATTTTTTTCAGTATAGTTTAAGGTGAACAGAAAAGGAATTAACAGCTTTGAACAATCACAAAAGCTAAAATAAAATTTAAGGTGTGTGCCAAACCATAAGCTAGGTGTACATACCTCAGTAATCACTGATGGACAGTAACCGAATAAAAGTGATGAATTATTTATTGGCCATAAATTACTAGCAATGCTAATTGAGTCCTTTTTTGGCAAAGAAGGCACAGAAGTTATTGTAACAATTTAAAGCTGTTTCACCCTTTGTATGCCATGCATCTTTTGCATCAATGCTCAGACATGTAGGCATGGATGCATGCACATGCATGTCCGCTGCATTCAAAGGTCTTCACAAAACACAAGGCTTGTGTGTGGAATTGGGATGAGCTCAATTGAAAATGCAAAGCCTTGTGTTTCATGAAGACCTTTGAATGCTAGTGGACACTCATGTCCATGAGTGTGCATGCACACATCTGCCTGCTTGCCTATGCATTGACACAAAAGACGCATGACACGCAAAGTGTGAAACAACCTTTAAATTTCTCTCATTACAAGTGGGGTTCCTTTCTTTTCCTCAATTATAGGCTCTATTCTACCATATTTGCAGCTCGTCTTTCAAGTTCTTAGTAATACAATATTAAAGAATGCTTCCATTTGTTGGTTTCCTATAAACTTTTAAAGTCTTGTAAACAGCCATTGCCATAGCTGAACATGTATCTGAAAGCTGTTTTGTAAAACTTTAAAGTGTTTAAAGTTCCACAGAATAGTTTTTTCATTACACTGCCAGAAAATCTGTTTTCTATTCATAATGTAATTATTTAACTGAATTTGAATTTAGGAGAGAGAAGGAGCACCATGCCTCACAGTTTAGGATTATGTGTTACTGTGCTTGCCAATGCTTCATGCAACTAACTCTCCAGTGTTGGAGGGAATATCTTTATACCATTTTTCTCAGAGGTCAAGGATATCCATCAGGAACCTAATGAAAAAGCTTTTGCTTCTATGCAATATTGACTCCATGCAATAATAATTAGGTTTTTTGCATGAGTTCAGATCAGGTTGTTTCTTTCCCAGGCTTGGAAGGCATGAAAATTGACTTCAATTTCTGCTGTAACTAGTTACTTTGTCAACTGTAAGTTTTACTGGTAATTAATCACTATTCCAGCCTAGTACTTGTGAATGTAACTTGTTACTTTTAGGAAGTTACTTGTACACCAGTGTTAGTAGTGAATATAATGGGAACGAAAATGTGACTTCATCCTCTCTTCAGCTCTGCTTGAAACAATGTCAATACCCTTAATTCCACTCCTGAAGTCTGTTTTGTGCTTAACAGCTAGTATAAAGATTGTGTGCCTTTTTTGCATTTCTTCATGTATTGATACCAAGGTCTTTATGTGGCATAACACAGGTGAGCCACCTCCACTGGGATTCCGAGATATCCTATTGAAGGAAGGACCAGAAGGATTTGCAAAAGCAATTCGCAACCACAAAGGAGTGCTCCTGACCGATACCACATTCCGTGATGCTCACCAGTCTCTGCTGGCAACCCGTGTCCGCACTTATGACCTCCTTCGCATATCTCCCTTTGTGGCCCATAACCTCCAGAATCTTCTCAGCCTTGAGAACTGGGGAGGTGCAACCTTTGATGTGGCCATGCGCTTCCTTCATGAATGCCCTTGGGAACGGTTGGAGAGCATGCGCAAGTTGATTCCCAACATCCCCTTCCAAATGCTCTTCCGAGGTGCCAATGCTGTTGGATACACTGCTTATCCTGATAATGTCATTTACAAGTTCGTTGCTAACAGCTGCCGTGTTTCTATTTGCCTGAAGTATTTGTTAAACTATTTTCAAACATGGTTGTCTTCCTTTTTGCAGGTTCTGTGAGCTAGCTGTTTCAAGTGGGATGGACATATTCCGCATCTTTGATTGCCTGAACTACATGCCCAATATGCTTTTGGGTATTGATGCTGTTGGCAAGGCTGGAGGAGTGATTGAGGCTGCCATCTCATACTCGGGTGATGTATCCAATCCTAGTCGAACTAAATATGACCTCAATTACTACTTGAAACTAGCTGATGAGCTGGTGAAAGCAGGGACACATATCCTTTGCATAAAGGTGAAATTTAAATTTTAATGTCAAAATTTCTTACCTTTGTTAAAATATGGGTCTAGTTAGGTTTTCTGAATGTGTTCTAGGATATGGCAGGGTTGCTGAAGCCCCGAGCAGCCAAAATCCTCATCTCAGCTCTCAGAGACCGCCACCCAGATATCCCAATCCATATCCACACTCATGACACAGCAGGAGCAGGCGTAGCGACATTACTCCAGTGTGCAGAGGCAGGGGCAGATGTGCTTGATGTTGCTGTGGATTCCATGAGTGGCATGACTTCTCAGCCCAGCATGGGAGCTGTTGTTGCTTCCCTTCAAGGATCAGATCTGGAAACTGGTTAGTCTTCATTCAATGAATTGCATCTGAATCTTCTCTTGAATCTCAGGCAGTGCATATGTTAGACAAAAAAATAACTTCCTATGGGGATTTCTTCATGGTTTTTTGTTGTAAGTGATGAACTGGTTGCAGGACATCATTACTTCAAACTACAAGGAAACTAATCCCATATTAAAATCCCTACTTGACATTGAAATGATTTTCTGCATTATTCTCTCCCTGTTAGGGATGGACCTGAAGTCTGTGAGCAAGTATTCAGCTTACTGGGAACAGACTCGCACAATCTATGCTCCATTTGAATCGGCTTTGACTATGAAGTCTGGGAATGCAGATGTGTATGAGAATGAGATTCCTGGTGGCCAATACACAAACCTTCAATTCCAGGCCTTCTCTCTTGGTCTGGGTCACTTATTTGAAGATATCAAGAAAGCATACAAGGAAGCCAATATCCTACTGGGAGACATCATCAAGGTTTCCTTGAATGCATATTTCACATTTTTTGAGCATGTATGTATGCTAAGCAATGAATTTACTTGCAGGTAACACCATCCTCCAAAGTAGTTGGAGACCTGGCCCAGTTCATGGTGCAAAATCGACTCTCTGCCTCAGATGTACTTGACCGGGCAGAGGAGCTCAGTTTCCCAAAATCTGTGGTAGAATACCTTCAGGGTACTCTCGGGACCCCTCATGGAGGATTCCCTGAACCACTTCGATCAAGAGTACGTTCTCTTTAAGAATATGTCACACTTTATATCACTCCAGTTCAATATTAGAAGATGCAGGCTTGGCTATCCCTGATAATTGGTTTTGTTACACCTTAGCATGAAGTCCCAACTGAATTGTCCTTATCTGCCTATGTGTCTGACCTCGACATTCTCTCATGAGTTACACTCTGCCATGCTTTTCATATGTATAATTTATGGAAATACATTGTTGGATCTGTTGCACAGGTGCTAAAGGATATGCATCGCATTGAGGGTCGTCCTGGTGCTTCACTGCCAGCTTTGAATATGGATGCCTTGAAGGTTGACCTTGTAGACAATTTTGGGCGCCTTGTCCGGGATACTGATGTGATGAGTGCAGCTCTCTACCCAGATGTTGCAAAGGATTATTTTCACTTCCGGGAGACTCATGGACCTGTGGATAAGCTAGAGACTCGCATCTTCCTTGTTGGGCCAAAAGTTGGTGAGGAATTTGAGGTGAGTTCATCATAAGTTCTCAAGTTCATTTACCTATGCTGGGACATGCATAATGTTGTGCTATTGGTCCACTACAGGTGTCCATTGAACGTGGGAAAACATTAGCTTTCAAGGCCCTAGCCATTGCTGAAAAGATGACAAAGAAAGGGGAAAGGGAGGTGTTCTTTGAGTTGAATGGGCAGCTGCGATCTGTCTTCATTCATGACAAAACAGCTGTCCAGGTGGGTGAGATTTAAGACAAATGTGCCTCCTGCTAATAGGGCTAATTAGGACTAATTAGGGCTTCTCATTGATAATATTTTAAAGATAATTTTAATTCTCTTTAAGTGGTGAATTCATCACATTTTGGCATACAGTTTCCCCACTTAACCTTTAAAAGGCAGATTTAAATGCCATAAGTGAACCCTGCCTAGTGGGTTTTATTGGCATCTCTAAATATGTTGCCATGACAACAGCCATCAGTTATGTCCAAATGAAAAGAACGCTATGGATATATGGAACGATATGGATTTATGGGTGTCCAAAAGAAAGAAATACTGAGTATGTATGTATGGATTGAGGAGATCCCATTTGTGAGTCTAAGAATACTTTTCTTGGAATTGTGTGAATCCCAGCCAAGAGTTAAAGGCTAATCTGGTAAAGGAATTGCATTGAAAGACATCACCAAAACTTATGTATAGCATTGTTACTGGGATTCTCCTGGGATGACCTTAAGAATCCCAGCAAACATCAGAGATATTTAAGAAGAGATTTGGAAATCAATTGAAATCAGATATGGTCTCATTTCAATGTTTTATGTCTTGATTTACATTAAAGTGGATTCATTGGTTAATGAATCCAAGTTGAATAGGCTTAATTAAATTGCTGGAAACATGAATCTTTGTTTTGTAGGAGGTGCATCTGCATCCTAAGGCCCAGAAAGGTGTGAAAGGGTCAGTTGGGTCTCCAATGAGAGGAAGCGTGTTGGTCGTTAGAGTTAAAGAAGGCGATACAGTGGAAAAGGGAGCTCCACTCATTGTACTTAGTGCCATGAAGATGGAAATGGTGGTTCAGGCTCCCATTGCTGGAGTTGTGAAGAAGATTGCTGTTACTCCTGATATGAAGCTTGAAGCTGATGACCTCATCTTGGAGCTAGAGCCCAAATAGTCCTCATGTAGACTGCTGTTTCATTCATGATAATTTTTTGTGTTTTCATGCACTGTCATATTGCTCAGGATAGCTTTAAGTACCATTACCAACTAGTCCATGCTTGTGCAATTGATGAATCTCGTCATTGGGATATCATGAAAGACATTCGTATTTCTGGAATCTCATTGACCTGGTTGTTTAATTTACATATTCTGGGAAATGTGCAATGCAGCTCCATTAAAAGTGCTGGAAGTTTTTTAATAAGCATGGGGCATCTTGAGGAACCAAGTGCAATATGCCAAGTGATATGATTAGAAATTGGTCAGTTTCATTAAACTTTAGGTCAGATATGGTTATGCTTTTTAGTGTTTTTCATACTCTTACTCGCTTGTAAATACATTGAACTTACTAATTCTGGTTATGCAATGGTAGGCTCTTAGAAAATGTCCTGGTGATGTTCCCTGATGTTTTGGAGTTTTGGCTCAGATTGTTTATGTTGGCCAAATGTGCCTGCTGGAATCAATGTTGAGGTCATTCCTGATAGATTTTTGTGAGGTGACTTTATCCAGGCAGTTGGAAATGGTTGAAGAATAAAAGAAGGTAGTTTTATTATCATTCTGAGTCTTTCCTTCTCATCATGCATGAGAATGCTTTCTTGCACAGAGGTGGCAAGGGATCCTTTGACACCACCACCTCACAATGAGGAATGTGCATGCAAAAATAGGACACAGTTCACTGATAGGTCCACTTGACCATGACACACATTCTTGAAGTAGATCATGTTTTAAAGTATAGTGTAACTTGTTCCAGATGGTTTTTCTCAAGCTCTAAAAGGAAGTCTTCATATTGCAGGCACTGCATAATGAACTACTCTGGTGAAGTATGAAAAATCACTATGAAATTCTTGGAGTTAATAAGGATGCAACTAAGGTAGAAATAAAGGATGCTTACCTAGACCTTTCCAAACAGGTGAGCTTCTAGCATGACCTTTAAATATGTTTCAACATGGGACAGGTCTTAAATCTTTACTGTTATAGTATCACCCAGACAGAAACCCAACAGACCCTGACCTCCACCACAAGTTTGTTCAAATTAAGGAGGCGTACATCATCCTAAGCAAGGACTCCACTCGGACATCTTATGATCTGAATCTCCAGTTTCAAGAGAGTCAAGGGTCAAAATCCACAAGCTCAGCATGGGTCAGAACCCAGGCACCTTCAGAACCTCTGTAAGTCCTTGATCAGTTGTAATCAACTCAAAATTTGTTGCTGTCAACTTGAGAACTATATTCCAAAATGCATCCAGCATCTGGAAGGACGAGAGCATCTGGGAGATGCGAGATCGTTCGCATGACAGGCGATACCGACATGAATCATATTATGGGTTTAGTGGTGTGAAACGGCTTCCGAATTCCTATATTGTAGCTGGGATTCTTACTTTCACTATCCTTGGCTGTGTTGGGCATTATGTTGCTGCAAAGTAAGTATTTCTTTAGTGTTTCCCTTAGCCATCTTGATGTTTAATTGTAAAAGTTGCTTCTTGTACCATCTCTTCTATAGGTACCTGGGAGAGAAGCATAAGCGAGATGTGGAGGAAATGGAAAGGAAGCATACCTTGATTTACCTTGGTGTGAGAGCCAAGGCAAAGGATGATGGGAATGAGTTACAAGTTGAATCATTACGCCAAAGGATCCAGAGTAATCCCGACTAGGGGCAGCAGAAATAGTTTTATCTAAACTTATATTTATTTTGTAGTGTATTTTGTTAGCCACATTCAGATTGTTTCAATGAATGCTTTCATGAGTTGTTTCATCTGTCATTTCATCACATAAGGAGAGTTCATGACCTGAAGAAGTCAAACCATCATTCACACTGATAGAAATGGGACTATTTTTATTTACTTAACACATAACTCTGATGGTTGTATTCCTTTAGGAAATTCTGAGTATTCAAGCACTTTGATTTAATATGGATATTACTCAGTTATAATTTATTATGGAGGTTATAATTCAGGATGAATCTTTCTGTGGGTTTTTAAAATGATACAAAGTTGATGTAAACACAAGATAATTAAAAAGTTNTGTTTCATCTGTCATTTCATCACATAAGGAGAGTTCATGACCTGAAGAAGTCAAACCATCATTCACACTGATAGAAATGGGACTATTTTTATTTACTTAACACATAACTCTGATGGTTGTATTCCTTTAGGAAATTCTGAGTATTCAAGCACTTTGATTTAATATGGATATTACTCAGTTATAATTTATTATGGAGGTTATAATTCAGGATGAATCTTTCTGTGGGTTTTTAAAATGATACAAAGTTGATGTAAACACAAGATAATTAAAAAGTTCTCTGTTGACTGCACAAATATCAAAGGAATCGTGTTGATTGCCTGCCCATCCCTTGATTGTAACTTGACACATTTAAATGCAAAGTCACTGAACTGTCAACCAGGTGAGAATGTAGAGGCTAAAGCAGGGCCACTGAAAGGTATTGTGGGGCCCCCTTTCCACCTGTCACTCCCTGCTTTAAACACAATCAACTCTTCATTGCTAACAAAGCTATACTATTGAACTATAGTATGTTAGAGGTATGGTGTCGGTGTGGGCTCACCCCCCCCAAGCATGGGGCCAGGGACAAATTGTGCCTTTTGCCCCCCTCTCTATGGGCCTGGGCTGTAGTGCCTATTCATCATCATGGGTCATGGGGTTGCCTATACAAAAAAACGTGTATCAACCTTAATCCTTTTCTTAAACCTGTCCTTTACACTTATCCATTCTTGGTACGTTAAAGAGTGGGTTTTTATTTTGAGAGTAACGGAGACATCATAGTTAGTATCTCTAAAACTAACAAGACTTTTAGGACATTTAAAGGATACATAGAAGTCATTGCAAAAAAAAAAATATTTCCCTGCTATCTTATGAACTCAGAAGAAACTCAAAAAGTGGCACTTTTTTTGCCTTACCCATTTTGGCGAATTGGAGGAACTGAATTTCATCACTACTTCATAGGACATACTCATGTGCAATCCTTTCAATTCGATCTGATTTAATTTAACTTGGAGCTGTCCTTCTTTGAGGGGAAAAATATGGGGTGTTGCAAAACCTTTTCTGCTAGGGGGTCCCAGAAAGAACTGAAAACAGCACAAATAAAATAACTACATCAAATTGAAAGTAATGCAGGTCATATGTCAGTCATATGAATTATTAATATGTCATTGGATCTGGAAATGAATTATTTTCAATTAGATGCAGTGACCCCAGTCAACAATTCCAGCTGGAACCAGCCTGGACATTCAATGGTTTTTGTTGGACTGAGCAGGAAGTTGCCGGTTTTTTATGGTTCTTATTTCCAGCTGGAGTAAATGGTTCTAGCTGGAATCAAACATACCCTGGATATTACCACTGGAGTAACCAGTAAGCTTAAAATTATGAAAAATAGCAGATAGAACTTGTATATTCTGCAGGGCTTACAGATGATCATTGGCACTAACTCCACTCACGTGGAACCAGTCCTGTTCCAGCATGGAACCAGCAAGGAATTTAAATTTAAAAAATCCCTCAATTATCCTCAGCGTGAAATATACACGTCAAACAAGTAATATTGCCTTACTCTGTGATACATTTCTTCTCACTGTAAATCATGCGGTGAACGCTTTCTTGTGATGGGAGACACGAAATCTACAGAGGCTTTAATGGCTCAACGGGTGAACGGAAAGAGTGACAGCGAGAGTGCGAAAAAAAATCTCAATGAAAGAGCGCATACCTCATTAACGGGTTCCAGGAAAAGGGGGCAGATAGAATTTTTCTCTTTTTTTCTCCTCCAAGGGTGCTTGAGAGCGAAGACGTGGGAAAAGGACAGGATAAATATTTTTGCTGGTGTGTTATCTCTTTTGGATTAACCTGGATAAGCCTGGATTAACGGGGGAGAATGGATGAGAAGACTCGCCCCTATAACCAGAAACGATGTTCGGATTAAACGGAGGATTTTATTATTTTGTATAATAATTTAATTTTATTATATCCCAAAAAAACGGCGGGATGCTTTCACGGATATTGCTTCGGGTTAATGGAAAGAAAGACTCAGCTACAAAAAAACTTTTTTTTCAGACTTGAAATATCTATCGTCTTAGAAAAAAAAAAGAAAAAACCTTACAAAGTGAAATTCTTTATCATTGATTAGCATATTCTCGCGCTCTCTCTTTTGCTGTCAATACCGCAAATCTGTGGAATCGGCAGAGATAAGAGAAATTGGCAGAAATTTAATTCGGATTTCTGTCATATGGCCAATGGCCAATGGGACTTTGAAAATTGCGTGGGATACACCGTCAAAGAAGTATCATTTGTCGCCGGATTTCATGCCCAGCATGAATTAGCCATACCAAAACCATCATCTTCGCACCACGATGGCAGGGGCAGTCTATTTTTATCACCTAGTGAAAGGTTGGCCTTTGAATGGCCTTTGGCCTTTGAACTCCCAATGGCAGGCAAATCCGGCAGCTCCTCGGTGCGTCTTGAGGAGTCTCCATCGCAAATCACACTTGGTGAGTGAGAAATATTTTTGCTATTCTCGTTAGATCGATACTTATGGTATAGATTAGATGGATAGGTGTGGTGCGTAAAATTACCAATGCACAGGACTCCTCACACCTGGTTATCAGAGGCATATCTGCCCTCCCGCGAAAAAAAAAAATTAAATAAAAAATATTAAATAAAAATGATAAAACCCGTAAATAAAAAATATTTTCCCACATTTCTGAAATGCCTGTATGTGTATATTAATATGCATTCAATTGGGAGCGGACTGTCGGCAGGATGGTGTGAAGTCTGCGAGGGAGTGAAGGAGGTGACGCTTGCATATCGCTATACTGTAACTTGGGTCTATTGTAAGGGCTTGCCACGTTGCACTAGCAATGCTGTCAATAATAGTTCTGAATTGAACAAAAAGACTAGGATGAGATCTTTTGGGCAGACATTGACTTCGCCGTGACAGAGGCTCAGGCATAAAGAAGCGAGCTACAAATAGACCTAATCTCTGGACTTCAAGCTGGGACCTGAAATTCTTCACATATAATTCTATAATATCTAATATGATTCTAATATAATTCCGTTTGGGAGTGGGACTGTGGCGGTCTGAGAGCGCGAGATTTCGTTGCATAACAGGGGTTAATGGGGTTACCCACAGATTCCTCTGCCCTTGACCCATTCCCGTTTCAGCCTACCTAGGCAGCGATTTGGCTCAGAGGGAGGTGTCCTTTCCTCTGCTCTTTTTGTTTCTTGTTGGGATGAGGAGACCCTCTCAGTGTGAAATGGGTGGAACTGCATACTTTAGACTGCTAAAATGGACAGAGATAAAACACTGAAGATTGATCAGGAATGTCAAAAGAGAGCTTTTAATAAATGATTATACATTATGATTTTGATACAGAATGATACATATGACTTGTATTCAGTGCCACATTGATGGCCATAATAGAACTCCCATCATCTGGACATCACAACGACATCCAATGAACTGGAAACTGCTGAAAAAACCAAATTTAAAAAATGTACTTTGATTAACAAAAGGGTGTCTCTGTTGCATCAGTAACTCAAGTATGTAAGTAACTCAAGTCATTAGCACCATTCTTGTGAGAACACCAGTTTTCTGAGTGTATATTATCTGTTGAGTGTCTTGCAGAGCCTGTAACTTAGGAGAATACCAAGTAGCAAAAAACAAAGTGTTCCTGGGCTCCATGTAAAGCTGAAGTTTCAAAAACTTTGTTTCTGATGTAACAGCAGTAAATCGTTTCAATCACAGCACAATTAATAACTGCAGAAAGACCAGAAAGTCATGGTATCATCAATTAAGAAGCTAAGGGCTTCTGAAAATGAATTGGATAGAACTCAATCAATGACCATGTTGTTGGGGCTTTAAAATTTGGTAAAAATTACTATTTATCTCACTCACAAATTACATCTGCATCAAGGTAGTTGAACTCTTCTTTTGCTAAGAGGCAGACAGTAATTTTTTAAATTACATAGTGGAGTTAATTACTGATAAATTAATTCCAATGAATTTTTGAGCAACAAATTTTGCCCCAGCTTTCATCCCAGTTACTCATGAACAGCTCATTTATTTACCCATATTCCAAACTGAAAACAGCACCAATTAATATCCATTTCTAGGCATACTTCAAGAAATAACATCAGGGAAACCACTTTCTCTCCACACATGGAATCAGTCCCATGAATTTCCAGTATACTTCCTTTAATCCCATGGTCCAGAGAATGTAACAAACAATAAAACAATGAAAAAAACAATAATCGTACAAGAAACAACAGTTCAGTACAGCATACCTGAAATGGCTAGTGTTTTTCAGAGGCTAAACAGAGTCTCTGTCAGACACTAGACCTCAACCCATAGGCCAAGATAACACAGACCCAAGCCTAGGTCCATTCTCCAATGGACTAGGTCTGAATTTTCTGCTGCAGCAATTTGCTTTTGAGCATGCTGAATTTTAGTTTTTTTTTTTTACAGTTTTTTTAAGTTAATTTTTTTACAAACATAATAAGAAAAAGTAAGAAGCCAAACTAAATTCACTCAAGTACAAGTTGAATTTGACAGTGAAAGTGGGAGGGGGCAAGAAGTGGGAAAGATCCAACAGGCTTGAAAACAACTTTTCATACTTATATAATCTCCTTTAATCCACACCATAGTACAATTACCAAAGCAAAATGAAGAGTGACAAGCATTTCAAAAGTTGACTTGGGGCCGGAAATGCCTCTGCAACTTGTTTCCTTTCACACCCAATTTCATGTGCTGGGTAGACTTCACCTTGGACACAAAATAGAGATCCCGAGCTCGCCTGTTGAGAAAACAGTGTTTTCATTTTGGTGTCTAATACAAATGAATACAAATAGGAGAAGGATCGCTTACCTCCTAGCAGCTTCCACATCTGATCCCTTCCAACCTATGGCTCGATACTGGCACATCAGTCGATCAACTGCCTTTTGTTTCTGAACAACCTGGGACAGGGGTAGCTTTTGCCTGAGAAAGGAAAGGAACACTGCCATCAATTCATTCACATTCAATCATGAATACAACCATCTTCAAGATCACCATGATTAATTACTTCTTCATGCATAGCAAAGTACATAGGCCTACCTGTAATATCTAGCGAGGGAACGATGTCCGACAGTGGCGCCAGAGGGCAGAGTCAATTGATAGCTCTCGCTGTCCACAACCAGGTCAGGAATGTCTACTGGTTCATCTCTATCATGGCCTTCCCCCTCAGGATAAGTAGAGGAATAGTCAAAGAAATCAGAATATTCAAGGAGAGCTTCTCCCTCAAAAATCATTTTTGTGTGCCCTTTGTCCAGCATGTGCTTTCGTGCAGCATCAATGGAATGAAACTTCTTCCCTCGTTCATTGCACCAAAGGCACATGTTCCCTTGACCAACCTTCCCTCCGAGGTATTCAATCAATCCCTCTAGGTCAACCAAATATTCCACATCAGGAACGAAGAAGGAATGCTTTTCACTCATGTGTTTCATATTATTTGCCAAAGTATCATGCTCCAGTCCACAGAAAAGGCACTGAGTAATGGGAATAGGCTCCACATCTTCCTCCCATTCATCTGAGTCTACCTCTTCATACTCATCAGAACCCATTTCTACATCCTTTTCTTTCTCCTTCGTGATGGAAGGCTTCTCATCCTTACTTGAGGATGGTGGGCTCTTCAATAGCATTTCTTGGTGCTTCTTTGAATTTATATGGTTTACATAGGCCTTGTCATTCCCAAAATGCCGTCTGCAAGGCGTGCAATACAACGATGTGGCTTTTTTTTCCTTGGCTTCAGCAGCCTTTTGAGCTTCTAGTCTCTGTTGGAAGTCATCTTCTGTCACAGGGGGCATTTGGACCACCTTCCTCTTCAGATTGTACCTGTGCCAATCAGTTTTATAATGCTCTCTTTGTGCATCTGCCTCTGCAAATGCCACATGACAAGTGATGCATGTGTAGCTTGCCATGTCTTTGTTCTTTCAGAGAGCACTTCTGAAAAAAAAGGGAAAGATTTTATTCAATGCATTCTAAAACAAAGTAGTACTTATCAAATTAAGCTCAAACCTAAGTTAACTTTGATCCAATTACCTCTTAGCATCCAGGGGTTCACAACTAGAAAGCCTAATAGCACCTGACCATTTATTACTGCAAATGGAAGAGCTTATTGCCTCCTAATATTGGGAAGTTTTAACTCATTCCTATTAATGGTTGGGACTTACAATGGAGAGATATAGTACTGATTTCTTCATCCTTGAACATGTGAACTTCATGGCACTCAGAAGAATAAACCAGGATTTCATAATTTGTCTTCTGATTGACTTTTAAAGAAGGAAAACTGTACTTACAGAAATCTAAATTTTTCTCCAAGAAATTCAGGCAAAATTTGGTCAAACTTACTGCAAAGCACTTGTTGAATCAACAAACAAATTATATTCATACCCAAAAATGACAACAGCTCAAGTTTCTTCATTTTTATGCCCAATCATGCCATTTTCTACAAAAAGCAAAATACAAAGAGACATACAGACAAAGAAGCACTACTTGTATGTGACACACATAATATTGGTTTCAAAAAGAAACAACAAGTTACCAACTGTGGCATTTTTTAATCTCAAGTAATAAACAAATTCAACACAAAGGCAGGTTCACCATGGGCAGCATAATAATCATAGGCAGGTTAACTTACCAAATTTCCAGTGGATTACAGCATTTTGGCAGATGGCAGATTTTAATGGGGTTTTTAAATAACCTATTGGATGATATTTTGTCTTCAACAAACACAACACTGTGAGTCCTATACTATATATTTCAGTTATATTGATTAATATCCTCTAACCTAATCGCATTGTAATAAACAGGACCTCTTCTAGCTATGGCTCCTAGTGTCATTACCTAATTAGGTCTAAGAAAGCTGGAAATTGCAGAAAAACTGTCCCACATGGTGTCTTAGGCGATATCCTTTGCTTCCAATTAGCATCATCTGTAAACATCTTCTGTTCCTATTGAATAGGCTATATCTCATTACAGAGCATATTCTTCTTGCATTGTGAGAAGAATGACAGTTAAGCAGAGCTATTTAAGGAGCCAGAGCAATCACTTTGGGCTACATATCCCAACATAGCAAGAAAGGTCTATGAAGCCCAACAAAGGAAATAGGATTAAGGAGTCATTGGGAATACAGAGATAGTGAATGGAATGAGTAAGCGACAAGCCAGATGATGGAAAAGTAAAGCTTGCTTTTAAGTGAATGTGCAGGGGATGCACTTGGCTCGTGTCTGAGATGAGGGAAGATGACATGAATGTGTTATATTAACATAGGAGCTTGCCAGTGGGGCACTGGCCTATATTTGTACGAGTCTACACAGCAAAAACACTGGTGGCAGATGTCCAATAAAGAAAGTATATAATGTTTTCACCATCAATAGCTGCAGGTATATTCTGATAAGGGATCTTTGAGCAGACTGCACCATGAATAAGACAGACTATGCCTGAGGTGGATCCTTGGTGAGGTGTTGCAAAAAAGGGAAGTGGGAGTAAAGAAGTGCCAACATCACACCAACCTTAAGCTTCTTTTCTTTAGTAGGAACAAGAATAGAATAGAATCCAATTTGGTGCGTGGGTGCAAAGTGCCACTTTAGCGGCGTTCACAAAGACTAGAGCATCATCATGGGGCAAAGGCTCGAAAAATAAGTTTAATAATGCCGAGGGTCGCTCGCCCACGCCACAGCAGCATCGACGAGCCGCACCGTTCCGTCCCCCTCATTTTGCTTTCAATTTGTCACCTCTGCCACAAATATGGGCCCCTGGGGGGAAAAAAAGCGATAGGTTTCGCACTGACGTAAAGACATCTATGCGGCTGAATATTCGCCTTTATGCGGCTCATGAAAAATGTTCATGCTGTCTGGCACCATCACCGAGACCAGCGTAACGTTAGAGCTGCGGGTCTTGATTTCATATTCGAAAAACCTAGCACTAGACAAAAGCACGTATTATCTATTCCTAGTCAGGCTCTCCGTCACCCTGCGGCACCTAAGCCCAACCAGCACCCAGTGGTAACCTCACCAGACGCTATGATGACACCCTGCGCAAGAAAAGGCACGTGGAGCCACACTGGCAACAGCGCCATCTCATGACAACCAAAGACGACCGACGTCGTCTGCTCTTCCTACCATTTTCCCCACAGTTCCCTTGTCCATGGCCTCGATGCCAGGGAGACAACCCAACGTTCCGTATTCAATGTTGATTCAACGTTATGAGAATCAATTTCCGATCACTGATTTTCGCGAGAGATTTCTCACCCGAGGGATTATTTGGATCGTCGTAATCAGTTGAGAGGTTTTTCCTTTTTTTTCCCGTGCCAAGAAGTTATTCTCTTCATAATGTACGAGGGGTGATCAATAAGTTTCCAGTTTGGTTCTGTAACTCCGTTATTCCACGGGCAGATGTACCCTATGTGCGACTTTGGAGAAATGCACCCAAGAATAGTGTGAAATGTTCACTGCCGCTTTTCCATGCCTGTCGAATAATAAAATTCGCAAAAAGTTTCGGAATAGAACCAATTCGAAAATGACGAGAAATCTTTCAAAGGATTCAGAAAGCGACAATGCCCTGATGGTGGTCCTTGACCTTGACCCATACTTTTTTTTTTTTACCTTGCCCTTTACCTCGTCTTCTGACGATCGTTTGCGCCGCTCGAACGCCCTCAAGGTTCCTGGGATGCAAAACTTGACGGCAATCCGACGAAACTTCATATTTTAAAGAAATTCCTTCTCCACTTTCGCCTCGTGCATTTCATTCGAAAGAAAATTTGCAAAATCAGACGAAAATTTCTGCAACTTTTTGATTGTCATTCCATTTGCCTTCGCATATCCGTGCTGAAAGTCGGAGAAGCGACTCATGAAACGAAGGACGGAAATTGCAACATGTCAACCGCGACATGTCAAT